ATTAATAAATAAATGTGAAAATCGTAATTTTCAAAACAAATAATAGTCTCTCTACCTTAATCTTCCATCGTCTGCCTATTAGAGATATGTTCTACAACTGCACAAACAATAAGTTGACATTTTCAACTACTGTAGAATAATTAATTTTCGATTGGAATTTAATTTTTGCTATTTTCACTGAAGGGATGATTCCGTGAAAATAAAATCCAGTGAATATACTTTTTTTCCTATATTTCACATTCAACTCAGCAAAAATCAGTGAAAATAAATTCAAAGCAAAACACCCAAAAGGCTTTTTCAGTGAAAATTTATTCCAGCGAAAATAAAGTATTCCACAGTACATTGCTTTACCTCATTTTTACGTCACAAAAGCATTTTGTGAAAGATACATAGAACATTGTTGTTCACAAACGTACACAATATTTAATAAAGATATGGGAGGCCAAAACATAAGTACCATTCAAAAATCACAATATAGAAAACTAAATATAATAAATAATGTAATATAAATTATTACAAAAAGTTATCCTCAAAAGTGAGTAATGCTCAAAAAAACAGGCAGAACATTTTCAGAAAGCAGTTAAAGAAGTTCAGAAAATTTAATAAAACAATTTATGCAGATGCTAAGTATTTTTTTCTTCCTGAAGAAACGCATTATGTTGTAATATTCTTGCGAGACCTGCTTGCCGTTCTTAAAATGAGAACCTTGTCTAATATGTCTATAGGATCATGCAGCCCCAGCAGCATTTGACGGGATATTCTGGAACAAATATCTTGTGATCGTGTCCGTAGACAAAGAATTTGTAAATTTTTCCATTCCATGCGTAGAGAATCTCGGCAACTGGTACAACATGTAAGGTGTGTTTCTGAAAATTTTAAAATATCAAAATTACCAAAAAATATCGGTTACTGAAGTTTAGAGAATATTGTCAGAATGAACATTCACTGGATGGAAACAACGCGCAAATTTATATAAGAAGAAGATGCATTTTTTGCATAAATCTATGAAACAGCTTTTATATAAAAGATTTTTTCACTTTCAACTATTATTGGTCTTTGTAAGTTATCAAATATCTTTAAATAAAACATGGGGTATATATTCTGTGTTTTCTGAGTTTATTGTCAGATAAATTTAACTGACAGCATTAGGAGTTCTGCCATCTTTGATACAGCACAATCATTAGATTACTACCATTGAAATAGATCATTAGAATATCATTTGAATATCATTAGGATATCATTTGAATGTCATTTGAATATTATTAGAATATCTTTTGAATATCATTAGGATATCATTTGAATACCGTTAGAATATCATTAGAATATCATTTGAATATCATGAGAATATCATTTGAGTATCATTAGGATATCATTAGGATATCATTTGAATACCATTAGAATATCATTAGAATATCATTTGAATATTATAAGAATATCATTTGAGTATCATTAGGATATCATTAGGATTTCATTTGAATTTCATTAGGATATCATTTGAATATCATTAGAATACCATTTGAATGTCATGTGAATATCATTAGAATATCATTTGAGTATCATTAGGATATCATTTGAATTCATTAGAATATCATTAGGGTATCATTAGGATATCAGTTGAATATCATTTGATTATCATTAGAATATCATTAGGATATCATTAGGATATCATTAGGATATCATTTGAATATCATTAGAATATCATTTGAATATCATTAGGATATCATTTGAATATCATTAGAATGTCATTTGAATATCATTTGAATATCATTAGAATATCATTTGAATATCATTAGGATATCATTTGAATATCATTAGAGTGTCATTTGAACATCATTTGAATATCATTAGAACGTCATTAGAATATCATTTGAATATCATTAGAATATCATTTGAATATCACATTAGCATATCATTTAAATATCCTTGACAGTATTTTATTATGATGTTTAGTGTTCTCAAAACCCATATATAGCCACCAAACTACTTTTCACACATGAAATGTTGAACACTCGCACAAATTGCACTTTTGAAAAATTTACTTAATCGGTTTCCATAGTTTTCACAAAACTGAAATATAGTCACTGAACTACTTTTCATAAAAATAGGTCAAACTTTTTTAAAAATGGTGATTTTTGTGCCAATTACCTGCTGGGTACAAGACACATAATTGTCACAAATTATTAGCAAATTCTGATGATTAAATTTATGAAATTAGTCCCAAAAACATATTTTATTTTGCATTTATTTTTTCAGACATTTTTAATAGGTAAAAAAAAATTATGTCTATATTTATAATTATTCAACACTTTTGAAACAAAACAATATGATAAAAGTTGTTGTCTAATTTAAAATTTTGAGCACCATATTTTCTCCTGCCAAACATTTCGCCTCTTTTTATGTATTTATGAAAAACAATCTGAAATAATTTTAGAACAAATCAACATTTCCTATTGGGTACAGGTCATAATAAAATAACCTTTTGCAATAATAAATTGAATACTCATGAATTGACTTTAGATAATGAAAAAAAATTTTATTACCTGTTGTAGGATTTTTTCATTCACCGTCTCATTCACTTGTATGTTGTACAGTTTCTTGGAACCTTCACAAATCTCTGTGTTTGGATATGAATCTATTGGTTTTACCTGAAATGGGAACACAGATATCAAAACTGAAATTTTCTGCATTTTAATTGGAAATGATTCTCAGGCTGATCACATATATATCTCTGTGAATTGGTCTCTATAAGTTACACTGTTTGGGGGATATGTCTCCTACCTTAGAACAAATTATATTTAGCATTATTTGCAAATTTTTCATATTTTTAAGCTGTTTAATAAATACTGAGTCAAAATTAACTTTATGGAACCATATATGTAAACACATGGTGTTAGGTCATGTGACATGGCCTATAGTTATGATAATAGCGGGAAACGGCTGGAAAATGAATTCTAGGTCAACTAAAAATTCGCTTTCCAACTGTCTAAGTGCTATTTGCATAAACATAATATAATTTTATCCAAATGTCTGTTCATTTGGAGTCACAGAAATCAATTTATTTAACTCAATAATACATGGAATACAAAATATGAACAAAATTACAATTAACATATCTCATTGAATGTCTCGTTTTATGTAATATACTTACACAAGCCAATATCACTTGGTACATTTTACAATAATGTCAAAGTTTCACTTCTTATAAGAATTTCATAAAATCTCATAAAAGGGATTTTATCTGATAGCATGATGTGGTCGACGATAGTTTTTGTGCCCTCGCCGATAGACACAAAAACGAATGCCGACCATGTCAGGCTACTTAGCCGATAGTATTTTATAGTCAGATTTTGTAAAATAACATAAGGGGTCCAACAATTATGCGCCTGGATAATATCTCAACATTTTTCATCATTATGTACTTGGTTATATATGTACATAACAATCTCAGATTCAACAAAACACTAATGAAATTCAAACACAATGCACAAATAAAACATTTTAAATTTCTTTGAACATGTTCAATGCATCTGAATAATGTATGAACTTTGTAATGTATGATTTTTCCTTCATCGCGAGATCTCGCGTAATGTGTGAAGAGCACGAACTGAGCATCTGCCGCACAAATTTAATGATTTGATTTTTGAACTTCTTTTAAAATATCCATCTTTCAGGGGGAGTATGGAATTGCCATCTTTCAGGGGGTGGAATAGCCATCTTTCAGGGGGGGTATGAAATAGCCATCTTTCAAGGGTGGAGTAGGGAATAGCCATCTTTCAGGGGGAGTATGGAATAGCCATCTTTTAGGGGGAGTATGGAATAGCCATCTTTCAGGGGGGAGTATGAAATAGTCATCTTTCAAAAGTTTGAATCCTGCACAGTGTTTGTATGCCACTACGTAACCTTGCATACAGTCGCTAGTTTATTTTTAATAAAATAAAATATCATGAGAGTGTGTAAATGGCGAAATCTGTGTTAACAAAGTAGAGGTATTTCTCTGTTACCAGGGATTCACCATACACTCGAAAAGAGACTGTATGCAAGTCTAGCCACTATGATGCTATTATTAGTTCTGTTTTTACGTTTGCTTTCACACGAAGTGAACGAAAAATGGTCTGTTGTTTGTTTAAACAAAACTCGAACACATGATGAATGAGGCACTGAACTATAGGAGGTATTAGTTTTGGCTTCCCTATTTGAGTAACATGCCTAACACATGTCCTACTCTATATGTATAAGTCAACCCCATTTTGTATTCAACGACTTAAGCAAATTATGAAACGCCTAAAGTGAAATTGACAAATAATTTTGTTTGATGTTGTGTTCAATATGTAGTGTATGCTCTGCATGCAAAATACCGTACATTGTTGATTTACAAAAAAATTGAAAACACGCTGCATGACAACAACGGCCCTTCAAAACATACAAGATTGAAACTAAAAGCAACTTGGAAAAGCAACATTAATATGTAACGAATGAAATAACATGATTGCTGGTTGCCATAGAAACAATTTTCATTAATTTCCTCCAAAGTATACCTTAATCATTCTGATGAGAGCTGGAAGGATCACAAAACTATAAACTACAAAATTAGTATTGAGACCCAATTTTATGTCAATCAATTTACAAAACAAGCAGTCTCTCGGCTGAGATAGCTCCGCTGTTAGCAATGCACATTACAATTAAAGAACTGAAGATATCATTAGAAAATGAACAATGTGTATAGTATGTTTTCAACAAAAATTCAAAAATATCACTTTTTACCAAAAATGACATAAATATTCATCAAAATTAGATAATTGAAGATATCATCACAAAATGAACAAATCTGAGAAAGGTCCACATGTAGTATCCATATATGTTATATCAAAGCAATTGGACTTGCGGTTTTTAACAAGAAGTCAAAAATATCACTTTTTACCAAAAATGACCAAAATATTCACCAAAATTAGAGAATTGAAGATATCATGATGAAATGAACAAATCTAAGAGAGGTCTACCCCAGGTACATACACACCAAGTATCAAGCATTCAGGCTTGTAGTTTTCAAGAAGAAGTCGAAAAAGTAAAACATTGACACGGTCGTCGGACGACAGACAATCACTCATATGATAAGCTCCACTCGACAAAGTCGACAGCGGAGCTAAAAATGTGGTCAAGGAATGCATATAATTATTTGAAAGTCAGAAAAATCTTGATCCAAAAAAATTGCTAACCAGTTTTATACATGAAGGTGCATGGCTAGCCTGTTGAGATATTCAAAATTTATATACAGACAACAAGACTGAAAATACAGATTTATCTCTGGATCTATCGACATAACAACGCCACATGATTCCTTTTTGCTTTCCAGCAAAAAAAGCTTCTATTTAAACTCTGCATGCGAATATTATAAAAATCTCCTGCAATATCAAAATGGAAACACGCGTTTCAACGGGAACACAGTGTAAATTGCTTCCATAATGGGAACATTATTACTGTCGTACTTAGACTAGAAGATATTGCACTTCAGCATAATTCAGACTTCTAGCGTCTAAACATATTATATTTATTAAATGTAAGCTAGCCTAAGGGAAGGCAATAATTGTGGGATCAATTTACTTTATGCACTTGTTAAATTGCAGATCAGTCATCGGTGTGTGATGGTAAAAATGCATGTTTCATAGACTGGAGGAAAGGTTAAACTTTCAGTTGTTGTCATGGAAACACTGGCTATGCATGATTAGATACTAAAGAATCACTTTAAGTTATCAGAATCATCGAAAGATTCTGTGCATATATTGTATGTTTGATTGGAAATAACAGGTCAATCTTACCACAAACAAGTTCTTTTCAAACAAGTTCTTTTCAATGACATAGTTTCTGTTTGTATTAAGCTGAATTAATATTTGAGAACACAAAGTTATGTCTTGTCTTTGTAACAAATTTTAATAAAATGTGTTTGGCTCAACCAGCTGATGACTGATGTTAGTACTGGACGCCGGTTTTAACCGTGGGATAAGAATAGTAAGGTTCATCTATAAGATGACTGAGTCAACCTGAAAGACTGCTAAATTATCAGTGAAAGATAGAGCTCATAACTCGCTACATCTCCTGCTTGAACCCAAAGAAATCAGAAATAAGGTCTTCGTTGACCTATTGGCAAATGACCTGGCATAGTGTGGCTTGACCTGGCAGAGCTTGCTGAAAAGACTATAACACTACATTTGTAAGGACCAACATGGTGAGGGCAACCTGAGAAGCTCAACAGCCAGCTAAAAAATAGCCCTTTGAAATAAGCTTTTATAGAATTGTCCTCTGTAATTTCTACCCAAACTTATAGTCAACATGTTGCTGAGCACAGATTCAATGTTTCCTATTTTGAATGTGGGTTTTTTGGCCTTATATGGCCTAAGGAATCTACCAATTGGTGCTTGGAAAGGATGTGTTTCGTGGCTCTGCATGGTTTACCTAGCTGGTTATATCTCGGAGGGACTGGAAATTATATATATAGCGCTTGCTGGTCTCTCTGAATGTGAGCATATAGCCCATAAGTGCATAGGTAAGGCAGCCACATCACCGCAGACATGTTCGACTGGGCAATTGACTTGATAGTAGTCCATGGGTCATGGGGAAGTATCCTCAGTTGGTTTATAACCAAAGGAGAGGTGTCCACAACTGAACTCGACCAGTGTCATTTGTGTGTTGTTTGATAAGAATAGCTTCCTGAGTGTAACTAATATCATTGAAAACAGGGGAAACATGTGCGCATCAACATGTTTTTTCAAAGGTAAACACTATTTAGATTAATTCATAATATTTATGGTTAAATTAACTTTTGATAACATCATTTTTTGAAAACATTGTATGTGATTATGAAAACAAAATGTCAATGAGAAACGAGAGATTAAATTTTTTTTTCAATTAATCGAAAAAAATCAGCAGATAAGATAAAAATTAATACACTCGAGTGATCAACTCTCACATACTGAAGTATTTTATCAATTCACAAACAAGAGATTGACACTACTCTGGCGATAATCGCATATGTCTGTTGACGTTAATCGAGTAAATGTCATAGGATTTTATATTTACTGTATATAACAATCTTAGAAGCTAAACAAATTAATTACATTTTTTTATCCAAAATATTGAGGAAAAAAATTAAAAGTAGATATTTGTAAAATTCGTCATTTGAAAGTTTAATTAAAATATGAGTACTGATAGACTTATTTCTAACTGCCGAGACATTGAAATATTTTAGCAAATGTTTAAATTTGGGATTTTCAACAAATCAAAGAAAAATGTTGTTGAATCATCTACACAAATTAAATTGCTCAATTTTTTTTTCAGAATTTTAGAAATAATGAAATAAAAAAAAAAGCTGCCGAATGCCTCGATTTAAGAACATTCAATGAGCAACCTTTTTGTTTTTAGTTTTAACGATGATATAAATCTTCTAGTTTAATAGCCATCATACTTACCCTCTTGCCACCATTCTGTAAAGCAATTTGACCTTTGGCCTGTCTCATCAAATCATGGGGTATACTTGTACTATCCACAAAATGTTCCCCGGTGTGATTGGTACTGAAAACAATAACACAAAACCAGGTTAATTTGCATATATGTATAACTTTTGTAACTTACCGGTAGGTAACCACAATTTCCTTGTTAACAATTTAGACTAAAATTTGCAAATTTATGTAAAGTTTTAAACACAAATTTTCTTCCCAAATATAGACAGTTTTCTACACATTTCAGGTAGTTTCCTATAATTTAAATGTTATTTTGGAAACAATTGGACATAATTTCTAATTTTCTATAAGTATTCATCAAAAAATAAAAACAAAATACAATTTATTATAATACAAAATAATTAATAAGTTTTTTTTTTTTGAAAGGTGACAATTAAGAATTAATTGTCTTGAATATTTCTACAGAAGTATTTTTGTTTATACACAGTGTGGTAACAAATCATGGTACCTTGATGACATCATATCAAATAATCGTGTTTTTGGTTCTGGCTATTACTAATTATGCAATCTCACTCTGACATTAATCATGAGAGTGCATGTGAATTAATCAAGTGATACCATATATGAGCAGACTAAACAATCATATTGAAAAATTCTTGTTATGAAACTCACTTTTGAGTTTTCTGGTTGCTAAGTGACCATGACTGATGTTGATACATTTTTAGTAAACACAAAAAAGCAGTTTTTGGGCGTATATTTCACTCTACCTGCTTTGAACCGAGCATGTTGATGAATGGTGGCATCCGTGTTTCATTTGAAAATTTATTCATTCATGGCAAACACAATGAAATGAAAGCAGAACAAATTACATCATATCGTAGTATCCGTACATACATTGTAAGATACGCCAAAAATATGTATTCAACCTCACCACCACCCAAGTGTTATGTAGCAGCCAGTGAACTCTTAAATCGTTTATTTTAATAGATTCCACATATATAATTATCATACTTTGATCGGCTATAATAAACACATCATATTTCATTTGTATTACCTCACAGAATACCACTATGTTAGATTGCGTTTAACAAGGTTTCAAATTATTACTGACATTCCACAGCGTACATTTGATTTCCTACATCCTTGTGTGGTTCATTTATGTGTTAAAATGGTATATAATTATTCATAGTTATAATCAATCACATAGAGAGCTGACTTTTATTGCTTGCAGTAAATGGCTTCAGGCTGAAATGACAATTCAGGAGACAGTTTTGAACATAAATCAATACTTTCTACTGAAAATTTATTTAAGAGTTTTCTAACTGCCCATTACTATCGGTATAAATCATTTTTTTTCATAGATTGCCCCAAAGCTAAATTTCAAGTAGCAATATCAGGTACATGTATGTAACACAACAGGAAACAATATTAGTACACTTTCTATTTGATTAATTGACCAATTATCTCTCAAATTGAATCATCTGCTTATGATAAACAAGTGATTACATTACATGGTTCCTGTGTCGAGTTATCAAGTTTAAGCTTACATGATGTTTGAATATAAACTTTCAGAGCATATCAAAGATATGGCACTAGAACTGCATTCATTAAAACAAAGTGGCCATATAGTCGGCTATTTTGAATCTGAATGTTACTAAAATCAAAATGGCCACCAGTCAGCCATTTTGAATGCAACAAAAAGATGTGCATTAAGGTCCCATAATGTTTGAACCATCTTGAATGAGATTGCGAAATGAATAAATATGCGTGAGTATCCCAAGATGCATAATACATGTGTGAAGTTTTGAATATAATCAGTCAAGACATGTCAGAGAGACAGGTACAGATGTCAACAATTTAAGACAATGTTTTCGAACTTCATCAGAATCATGAGAACTAACATTAACTGATGTGATTTTTCTATCATGATGTGATATGATGTATTTGCAGCTAGACAGAATATGACATATTTACAACCAGATAGAATATGACATATTTGCAACCAGACAGAATGACATATTTACAATCAGACAAAATAAGATATATTTGCAACCAGACAAAATAAGATATATTTGCAACCAGACAGAATATGACATATTTGTAATTCACATTTGATTTTGAATGCCAAATTTTTGGTGCAGATTTTCATGTATTTTTCTTAATTTTCTTTGTTACTTTTGGACCAAATGGGCATAACTTTATTTAGCAAAATTATAATTATAAATCTTTTGCAGACAATCATGACAGGATTTCATGACGTTATATAACTATATACTTGGTAAATACCAACAGAACATCACTTACAATTGTACGCAAAGTTCAATGAACCACTTGAGTTGCCTGTAACCGTCACATATTTGACAAGGGATACGGCCATCACCATGACAAGTCCGACACCTAAAATAAAATTAAACAAGGTTACCACAAAGTATGCACAGTTTAACACATAGAGCATTGAATCAAGTAACACCATGTTTCCAAGTAGTGTCTATGTGCATCAATACCAGTAATCAAAGTCACTAAATATTAAGAGAAGGAAGGGTTCAATAAACTAAATATAATAATGGTTTTTAGGTAATAAAACTTAAAATCACATTTTGAGAATCTTAAAAACTGTAAATTAACAGAAATGCCTTACCTTATTCGTCCGGTACCAGAACATCCGGAACAGAACTGTCTGGTAAAGATATCCTTATGTTGTACATGAACACTACCGCCACAGAATTTACATCTTATCTGAAAACCGCAAAATAACGAGAAAAATATTTATATGACAGAAAAAAAAAGATAATGAGCACATGAAATATTTGATTATTATTATTATTATTCATTTTT